CCTGCTGATTGACATCTCAGCCACTTTCCTTGGCAAAACAAAGGAATCACGCATGAGCTGATTCCTTTGACAAAGGTAATTCTCAATTGTACTGCAACAGGACTTCACAGGAATGACAGACTCAAAAAAAAGAAAAAAAAGTACTTTTTTTTGTCTTGGAGTCTCTGAAGCATACTAGATCCAGTGTGTGAAGTTTTCTTCTCTACTGGGAGAGATGCATCATGGATTCACATCTTCATCCCAGGAAAAAGGCACAGAGAAGAAGAGGCAGAGACATAGCCTGCTACAGTAATGAAAGAGTTATAGCCTGAAGTATTACAAGTGCTTCCTCAACTTAAGAAAAGGGCTGAAGCTGCAAATAAAATCAACTTGCAATAAATGAAGAATAAAAAAAAATAAGAGAAAAAAAAAAAACTGGTTGAGATTTGCTGCAAACTTGTTCTGCCACAACAGGCAATTATTCTGGTAGCCAAAAAGACAGGTTTTGGTACTACAAGTCCCAGCCAGAACACTAGACCATCACTAGCTTGCAAGGATGCATGTCTAGCCTATTCAATGAAGCAAGCAGCAGAAACAAATTTACAATAACAATACACACCTTGTAGCATTCATGAAAGATTACTTCAAATCTTTCTATCTGAATCAAATTACTACAAACGGAAGTCCACACCTTATTTTGCAATCCTCACCTTTTTGACAAACCGATAATCATAAATTGTTCCTTCTGTTGGAAATGGGACTGTGAAAGCTTTTGAAGGCTGTTGATCAATACTGCTCAACAGTTTGTACTGTTGTATTGTCTCCTCACTAACTGGTCCATTAAGCATTTCTCTCACAACTTTGTCAAATTTTAGTCGACCATCTTCCTTACAGCTAGCTCCTACAGACCATATCAGTGAAAACAAAAAAGCACCCTGGAGTTGGAAAAAAACAAAATGTAACTTCAGAACCTGCATATTACAAAGTTCTTATTCACTGAAGTCAAAGAAATCTTTGCCACAAATCACAATAGAATTACATTGGACCAACCTGATTTTATGTATATAGTATGGAACCACACTGCTGGTAAAATAAAACACCTTTATCTATCAGCATCCAATCACCTTTGTTGTGGAGCAAAATGCCCCACCTGCTCAGCACAGAGCTGTTATTTTCAGAAAGTTCAAGCATAGGCTGCTTTTTATTCCAGAACAATTTATATAATCATTCTGTTATTCAAAGGCCTACCTCATACAGTGATGGCTATGTCTGTTAACAGGGCTTTCCTGGAATTGTAATCCTTAGATAGCATTGATTTAACTGATCTAAACTGAGATACCAGAAACTGGAGAATCATACAATTTTGGCTGGTTTCTATAAAATTCGTTAAATTTGTATCACGACATCAAACATGTCAGACTCAACTATGTATCAATTATAAAAGAAGATAATAGTATTTTCCTCAACGGACATTAGAAAGTATGTATTCTAATTATGAAATATAGGTTTTATTGTTTGTGAAGTCCATTTCACCAAAGCCTGTCTTGGAATTCCCTATTCCCTTAAACGAACTGCCCACCTCAAGCCAAGAGAAAATGTCATGGTCATTCATAGCTTTAACTGTGGCTTCATCAGCAAATTCATCCATCATGCAGTCCATCAGATTCATTAATGATCGAATTAAGTTTGTATCTGAAGTAGGAGACAGTTCCTGAAAAGAAAGAAGAAATACTCAGTTGCAAGTGTGTTTTCCTCACTGAAGAGGCTGCTAGATGGTGGGGGTTTTTTTCCTCACTGTGAAGATAAAAAAACCTGTAGGACAAATGTGTCTAAAATGCATTCATTTGCAAAATGAAAATGCATTAATTCAAAATGCAAGTTAAACAACACACAGAAACCTTGCTCACAGCCTTCATCTCAACAGCTGTTATTAAAAATTAATAAGTATAAATTAATATGGTCCAAATTAAACTATTTGTTCCTTTGGCATTTAGAAATGAAAATAATTCATATGCTCTTAGTTTCTCAGAAAAGTTCTTAATCCTACCTTTGTGTATTTCCTAATAAACTCAAGACAGAGCGGAACCATTCTGTCAAATAGGCCTATTATAAATTCTTTATGCACAGAACTGATTCCCAAATGCATTGTATTTAGCCAAGACATCATTAATGGTCTCCAGCCTAACATATGGGGCTCCATATAGACCATACCACACCTTGAAACCTAAAAATAAACAAACGGATGCATGTTAAGTTACATGATCTCCAAAGTTTTTTTTTCCTATCTACAAGAACTTAAAATAACATTCAGTGTTATAACATACAGCTTCTGGGATTATCAGAAGCTGGTGTAAAGTGTACAGTGGGGGTTCTGTGAGCCCTGAAACAGACAAGTTTCAAACCTAGCTTTATTTCTTCATCCAACAGGAGACCTAATGTCAAAGACAGATTTTCCTCTTAAATTGAATTAGTTTCCAACATTAAGGTCACAAGAGATAATAAACTGACTACTAGAGTGCCTAAGACTTAATTTTAAATTAAGTTTTATATAATTTTAACTAAAATTCCTTCACAGCATGACTATGCAGATATTTTGTTCTGTTTATATTATCATCTGAACCTCTACTCATATTCAAGAGAAAATTTTTGCATTCCACAAAGTGCTATCAGAAATAATAGGTGTGACAGACATAGACAGGTGCCAGAAATGCAATTATTGTTGGTTTTATCAGAATTTGTCTGGGAGATTAAAGATTTGCACATGAATGTTTTTATTTCTCTTGTCAAGCACTTGCAAGGGCCGGACTCTGAATAGTTACAAGGTCTTCTGTATGTTTGATTTACTTTACCTATGTAAATATGTAATTTTTCACATCATATCGTAAGATTACAAAAACTTTAAACAAGGAAACCAAGCTACAATGTTTTTTATTTTAAACATATATCAAAGAAATACAAATTTACAATTACTATTCTCAGTTAAGTATAGTTTTTTAAAATTAGAATATATACCACAATAATCAAAGACATTTGTAATCAGTCTTTCAAAGACAAGTACTTACAGTAGCAGGAGAAGCAACTTCTAAATCCATTGGTTCAAAAATAAGGCTCATTTGCTGTGACATTTTGATGATCTCTCCACTCATAAGGCACAACTTCTTATTATCATCAAGCACAGTATTCATATTCTCAATCCATACTGCATCCACTGGTCCATCAAAAACCAGCCATTTTCTATCTGGAGTCTGGTTTGCAGAAAATATTTTTAATCAAATATTTGCAATGCATCTTATTACATTTACTGTAAAATAAATATTTCAGATCTAAAGTTATTTTCCACAAAAAATAACTGAAAATACTCAGAGTTGGATTCACAAGCAGTTTCTGAAATCACAATCTATGTTCACAGTTTAGTTTTATAACTTTAAAGCATAGACTAGTAATTAACTATAGAAGGTTAGTATCTTTGACTGGTTTCTTTCAGTTATACTTGCAATGCAGTAAATTGCTTCTGTCAAATAGCAACATATTCAGATACTTTGACTTATGGTGCAGTGAGACTGTTAATACAAGCTACTACTCATCACTAATACCTACTGCACACTTACCATGGAAGTCAATAGGACTAATGTAAGGAATATGGTAATATCTAAAAGTAACATGCCTGGTTTTTACAGTATAAAAAAGTAGTCATAGGTATTCATCATATTTCTTACAGGAAAGTACAAAGCAGTTGTGCAGTTCTGCAAATGTTATTAGAGATGGTGAACTTCACGTTGATCAATTTCAATATACTATTAGCCTATTTAAGTTTATAGAGGTAAAGAGTCTGATGCTGCAATCACTAGCAGAGAGTAAAGATACACCTTTTCTTATACTCAGTGAAAATATTTCAATGAACTTTAATGGAAGGTCAGCCATAAGCCACACTCAAGACAGCAGTTTCTTCCAAAATTAATGTCAAAACGCCCGTATACATAAAGAGCATAGATTTGGGCCATAATCAGACAAATTAAGGAATGACTATATGGTAGAAAGATTAAGTATTCATTTATATATTAAATTATGTATATTAACATATATTGTTTATTTATAACAAATATATGTTTATTATACAAACATATAAACAACAAACAACCAAAAACACCCTTTATCTTCACATAACTACTTCTGAAACACAAATCTTAGTTCACCAGCATCCAAAAAGTACTCTGCATGGAGCACACTACAATCAAGCCAAACTGCAGTCTCTGCATTCAAATGATGAAGCATATGAATTCTACAATGGTTGCGCAAACAACATGGAATTAAAATCTAAAACGTATAAATTGAAAAGTCATTTCCCCAAATGCTCTAAGCCTGTTAAGCACTTACTGGGGAAGATGCAAATGCTCTGAAGCTCACTGCTAGGATGCCATCTGACCATTCATGTGACACTGGATCAAATTGTCCATATAGCTGACCCATTGTTATGGATTTAGGATTTAAAACAGTGATCTGAACCTTGTTTTCTTCCATCAGCCCCTGAAGACACAAAATTAATAAAATCTGTTAACACCAAACATGCAATTTATTATGCCATTTGTTTTATTTTCAATTTTACAGTCATACATTATTAAATCTTCATACAAATTTCATCAGTTTACAGCAGGAAAGACATTACATATACTACATTTGAAAGATGGTTGACAAATGTCTGAAGACACTTATTGCAACTTTATCATATGTAGTCGGAAGTCTAATTCTAATACTGAACAGTGGCTTAATAAATGAAAATTGAATTTTAATTTTTTTTTTTAATCTTAGTGAACTGGACATTAGGCAGTCAATGAAAGAGACACAAGTTCTATTCTTACACTTACAGGGATTACAACAGGCTAAAGCCTTTTGTCTATCTCATTTTTTCCATGTTTAAGGAATAAATATTACTGCCTTGGCAAATTTCCAAGATTGATGTCAAAATGACATTAGAAAGTTCATTTGGGTTTTGGTTTTTTGTTTGGGGTTTTTGGGTTTTTTTTGTTTTTACTTAAACCATGCAAAGATATCTAATGTTACTTTTTGATTAAACTTCAACTGATTCTTCTCTTCTCTCCTTGTGACTAAATAAGACATTTAATACTGTGCACATTAGAGATCACGTCACTGAAAACCACCTTTCTTCAGGAATGAATTACAAGGAAAGCGACAAAGTGCAAACACTCATTTGAACACCTATTTACTGTAGCCTTAAAATATAAGAAACACCTACCCCTGATTTAAGAAAAAAACCTCTTTCCTTCCAAAAGCAGCCCTATTGTTTATGAACTTGAACTGAGAAATCAGGAGTTCAGCATCATTTCATGCCTGTTCTGACTGCCTTCCTTCCACAAACACACATAATCTTTCTTTGTTTCACTTCACAAAATACAAAATGCAGGCATTTTTATCATATTCTTTCAAAGGAGAAACAAGTATGTTTATAAAAAAGTATGATTACAATTTCTTTTTCTGACAGTCTGCACTGAATTATAATTCAAACATGCTTTCTTGTTTCACCAAAGTGCATATTCAGAGGGAAATGTAATATTTAAAGAAAGGGGAAAACAAATAACATCTTCTTGGAAAGAGTTACAAGCTGCATGAACAGCAAACACACAGCCATGACAAAAATACAATTTAAAAAAACCTAAGTACAGAAACTTTGTCACAATTGCCCCGCTAAAAAATCAGAATACTGTTGCAATGACAAAAATTTAGATTTAGACTCTTCAAGATTTGCAAGTACATTACAATTTTCTTTTGTATTAGTTCTGTTGACAGCTTCTTACCTCATTCATCATAAATCTCTCCTCATCTTACTCATCACAATGCCCCCTAATTATAAAATTCAGATATAGTCCCAATACAGCTGCTAGAGCTCTCAGAACATCAGTTCAGATGAATGAAATTTTCTTCATGATGGTAAAAATCTTCCAAAAAATCCATTGTTACCATAATCAGAATGAAATTTTGTTGGTTAGTTGAATACCAGCTGGGAGGGGGGAGGGCAGAGGGCCAGGGAAGGAGCTCCAATAGGTGTGATGGCCATAACTTAATCATTATAGTTGATTGAGAAGCTGAGCTAACAGGAGGAAAATAATTCGACAAAAATTTCTTACTCTAACATATAACTTTTTTCCTCAAAGAGAAATGAGGAGTGGACAATGATTCACTGAATTAAAAGGAAAAGCAGAAAGTTAAATATTGTTTTACTGGAGTGACAGACAGGAACAGAATTTCTCCTACATACCTAAAGCAAGAGCTTCACAATTTAATCTACAATACAGGAAGCAACTAAGTAACAGCTTTTAATAAATGATCATAAGAGTACAGTTTTGTTTGATAGCAATACCAATGTGAAAGTCTAGGCAGTCTAGTCTTGCTGCTATCTGCACAAAAATACAAGGTGTCTGCCTGAAGATCACCATTAAGGAAATGAAACAATTTTGCTGAAGTGGTTGATTGCATGTTTCCAGACAGCCAGCCTGAAGAAATTCAGTGTCCTGAAAATCACTTATGCTTCATGGTTATTACTATTTTTCTCTGGGGTGCCTGAAGTTCACAGAGGGAGCCAGTCACGTCTCAAGTCTCAAATCCTAAAAACTTCATTTCAGAAAGAACTACAAAAGTTCCTTGTACTGCGTTTACATTCCATCCTAGCAGATCTGACTAGACTGAATCTAGAGGTACTCAGACCACAGAATAAAGACAATAACTATGATAAGATTATTCTGCAAAAGTCTCCACAGCCCAAGTGGCAGGATTCCAGAGATCCCATATGAAACATTAATATTTTGATGGCTTGAATTTGAGCACTATTTGGTATAGCTATACTACTGGACTGAAGTGTTCCAGAAAACAATTATTACCCACTTCTAAGTCAGACGAAAAGTCATTTAGCAGAACAGATCTTGGGTTTGTTTCAGATCCAAAATTTGCCTGAAAAATTGCAATACTCTGGTTTAAAAAATAATAAAAACTTAAGACTATTTAGTTTCTGTGTTTACATGGGCTTATTATATTCCTGAGAGAAAATCTTCAAAACTTTGTATAAGTTTATGAAGCAGATCCATTGTTTGGATTCTAAACTGAATAATCTCTGTTAAAAGAGAGTTCATCAGCTGTCATGTGAATAAGTTGAAATCTGGTATAAAGCTTTCACAAGAAACAGTTTATCATAAAATTTCAAGTAGCTAATTCAGTCCTTGTCCGATCCAATGAAAGAATTTAGAGAAAACGTCATGTGTAGAAACACCTGAAATGTATTTAAAATTGGGTCATCCTATCTTATGTAAGTTTGGAAGTACAAATTCTCAATCAAATTCTTTAGCTTTTCATTATAATTTTAAGTTCCTTAAAGTAAATCCTGTATTTAGAATAAATACTAAAGTATGTTTATAAAATTTTTTTTAAAATATTTTTCACCAGAAATATTTATAAATACATTTAGATACCTTCTCACACATGTCTCCCAAAGCTCCTGCCAGAACTCGATATGCAGATGTTTTTCCCCCAAAAGGCTCTCCCACTATCATAAAGCCATGACGCACAATCATCATCTCATATATCTGTAGGATCTTCATAGTAAATACGTCAGTCATTTGCAAATTCATAGCATCACAGTTTGTTTTGATGGCTTCCAACAGGTCATTGTAGTCTGCTTTTGGTAGCTTCACACCCGGAAACAAATCAGAAGTAATACCCTATCCAAACAATTAATTCGAAAGTACACTTATTTTCATAGCAATTTTGTTTGACGCTAGCCAGACTAATACTATTTTGATTAAAATAAAATAACTATGAATTTTATGTCACTCTTGTCTAAGACAAAATTCTGACTTTGTAATTTATTATTGATATTTATTTCATGTATCTTTTTCATGATTACCTGGGCACATAGAGAAGTAATTAACTATCTAAGCATATTCTTTCCCAATAAACATTAGCTTTTATTACATTAGTTAATAAAACTTGCAGTTAGAAAGTAGAGAAAGCGTTTACCTTTTTTCCTTGATAACTGAAAAATAATTAACTGAAATCTAAATTTAAAAGCAAAGATCCTGCAGTTTTGCTTACAACAAAACAAGAAAGATATAAACTGAAGGTGTAACAAATGCAAAAAAGAATCTCTGGGCTATCATTTCAATTAGCCAGACCTGCAGTATCAACTTGGAAAGCAAAGATTACTGAAAAAAACATTCAAAATAAAACATATTCTTTAGAAATTACAATGACAGCAATTATTGGTGAACTTAGAATCGCATTATTTTGACATTTTTCCTGTTGCTAGGTATGTTGATTTCCTTCTACTGTGTGCCTTCGTTTTCTTTTAGCACTGTTAGTTTCCACTGTTAACATGTTAATGAGCACACCACATCGTGACCTTAAAGTGTTTGGTTTATTAAAAACTATAAAATATGTATTTAAATATGTTTAACATTCTGTGCTAGCAGGGGCATGTTTTACAGGGGACTATGACAAAAACAGGGCTTTTCCAATGAAATAATCATATTTCCCAAGTAGACATATCAAGCTGTGTTCAAGGTAAGCAGCTTCTCTTGTCTGAAACACATTTGATGTAAAATTTCCACTGGTTATTCATCTCCTGCACATTTTTCCCCACCCTCTCTGTTAAAGAATTAAAGATTTATACACTTGTGCTAGCGTATGGTCTTTCTATGCCTATAGATGGTCTTTCTATGGTATATATAGATTCTATAACTAAGATAATGAGAGAAAAAAGAAATCTATTAATAATTTCCTTCTTAAAAAATTGATGACATAAATATGGGGAAATGGAGGAATACCATATTAAAAGAAACCATTTACTATCACAGCATAAGTATATACTGCTGGGCAAAACTGTCTTCTCCACAAGCAGAGCAGGATCGATATTATAAATAAACCCATCAATAGGGCCCAAAGATTTTATTATAGGCCCAATGCAATATACTACAGGGCAGTATTAAAGGAAAATCTTTTCTGAAGTGTTAAAAATCAAGATTCAAAAAATCTGGACAGACCATAAATAACTTAAAACAAACTGAAGCAGAGTTTTAAGCAAAACAAGACAGAGAAAACGTGTATCATTTGCATGGTCCTAATAAACACAGAAGAGTTATTGTGTATCTCCAGCCAGATATACCTGATTACACTGCAGATCTGAATAACAAAGGCAAAACCAGCAAAATTAAAATGAATAAGGAAGGACATGCATGCTTTCCATTTCTCTCAAGCGTGCTATATAAATTGAGGTAAGAAATTAATATTTCTCATAATAAAAATCGAAATAATTCTTAAAATAATATTTAAACTTTTAAATTACATTATTACTGCTGAACTTAATTTTTTTTATTCTGTACCCTATAAGAATTTCAAATGAAGCTGCTTTATTCCAGAACTACCAGAATCAGGCTATTGCAATTCCCACATACTCTAGGCTTAACTTAGTGTTGACTCCTAAATCTGTCCCCCAATAGATAACTAATTACAGTGACATTGTGGTGTCATGCTCATCTGTCGGTGTTTTATCCTGTAACGTGCATCTGTTCTGTACTGACATGATCATCTACTTTAATTCTGTGTATTAGTCTTACATTCTTAGCCTTCTTTTGTTGTTTACAAGTTGATAATGTGATAATTTCTAGTTTCAACTTACAAATTTTTTCCTATTTTTGGGATATGCCAACAAGAAAAATATTAGTATGTGTCAGGCTATTTCTTCTCTAAATGAAGATACATTTGTTATTTATGAGAGTGAAAAGTGTATAGTATTACTTCATAAATAGACTTAGAGTTAATTTCTGTACACTATGTTATTAACATTGCTATACTTACTCTTAAAGACTGAAACTTAGAGAAACAACTAGTGAAGATGCTTCAATTTTGCAAGAAAACTTCTCTAAATTTATCTCCAATATTTAAAAATTTATAAAAATATGATATCTCCCTTCATGACTTGCTTTCAGGAAGAAGTGTGTAGTTTAGGAAGAATTTTGATTATAGTAACAGTGTCCAGAGATGTATGTTCAGTTTCTAATTCATTATGCTTTCATATGACTTTGGGCAAAGCAATTACCTTTTCTGTGCTTCAGATTTCTAAGGCTTTTTCTTAAAATTCCTAAAGGAAAGAGCTTCCATATTACTTTCATGCCCCCATGGATGTTTTCTTATAGAAATTACCTCAGTTTACTCCATTATAAAATTACGCAAAAAAATATTATGCACTGAAAATGCAATTGCCACTACTATGACTGCTAAAATACACCTATTACTATCCAAAACAACCTGTGAGAGTTTTTGATGTTGTGAGTGTACAGTTGCACACAAATTCCCGTGGCTGTATATGAAGAAACAATTTTTTTTCTAAGTAAGATCTTTCTACTACTGTTTATAAAGGTACACATGAAGGTCAATGTTTTCACAGTTTCCAAACATCTGTATATAGCCCAGATCCTTTCATCTTTTTCTAACAGGACACAGAAAGCACACAGCTACCAAAGATTGCAAACTTCTCCTAATGCAGTTCACAGCTCACATTTGTGTTGGGCATGTCTGGTTCAACCAGAGGTATATTAAACATGCCTATCTTGCAGAAACAGATTGCAAATCCAATCCAAATGGCACATATTAGAACACAGACTGACTGCGTTAGTGCATTCTGTAAACCAGGGGACGAAGTTACAGATCATTTTCTCAGTTCAGTTCCATACTGAGATCAACTCACAAGAAGAATGAACCTGACCCACTTAATCTATTTACTGTTTTGCACATGTTTTAAATTAAAATCCAAATTTTCTGTTATAGAGAGGAGACTACTAGTACCTACCTATTTCATAAAAATACTTACAAGGCACTCTGAAATGTTGAATACACAATATATAAAAATAGTATGTTAGCATTTCAAGCTGTAGACTTGGCAGAAAATTTCATTGGTCTGAACTATCAAAACCCAAATGCTTGCTATATTTGCTAGGAAGGAACAGTTAACACTACATTTTAAAATAATTACAGGCTAGTTTAAAAAAGTCTTTGGTCCATCTCTCTGATAAATCTGTTCTATAATACTTTCATCAACTAGTATTTTTATCAAGCTCTTTAAATTACTAAAAATCTGTATGTCTTCTACCTCAAAAAGTGGTAAATCATGAGACAAAAATTTAGGCAGGTTGACATCTGTAATGGATCTAAGGAGCAAAATTTCTTCATCTTCCAATGGATACTTCAGCTAAAAAATATAAAAAATAACATTAGTTAATTTTTATACTTTTGAAAAACAGATGTTAAACTTGCCTGTTTTACTGAACATTTCCTTTTGTGCATCTGTGCAACTATTTTGGCAGGTTCAAGTCCACTGATAACAATGTATGTTTTAGATGTATGCTTATACATTCAATATCAAGGTGTTTGCAGTAGGTTTCTACAGTCAGGATAATTTCACTTTAGTTTATGCCTAATGATGGGTGTTACTATAAATTTGATATGACTTTTTTTTCTAAACCATTGATTTTTTGATTTCTAAGATGTATTCCTCTTCTTCCTAAGGAGGATAATTTTCCATTCTTTGACATAAAACTTTAGCCTTCAGCAAAGTGGAAATTCTAAAAGCTTGCATATAGATCTCTCTCCCAAGTTATAAAAAGAACAAAACTAAAAAAGTATGTGCCGCTTTTGCCACAATACATAGCTTAGTTACTGATTTTGGGTTTGGTAGGTTTTTTGTAATAGTAGGATTATAGGTTGAAAAAAAAATGGAATGGAAGAGAATTATAAATACTAGTCTACCTAAATAAAAATAACTGAATTAAAAACCCAACAGCTTAGTTTCTTAGTAAAATGTATGCATTCATCCACAACGGAAGCCAAAACAAAATACTACATCCTATACCATTTTTCTTAAAGATAAAAGAGTGATCAAAGTCACACGTGGCAGATATTAGCCAGTGCGTTACTGGAAAGCGTTCTCACACTATGGCAAAGGCATCTGAACCTCGTAAGAAAAGCAGAGCAAAGCAGTGGCCAACATGCCAAACAACTCATTAAATTTGCATTTAACTAGAATTCTTGAAAAATAATCATCACACTTAGCAGGCACCTCATCCAGTGACAAGTGGTGTGGTGAATGGCCTGGTAGCTTTATCTCTTCTTAACTTTCCTCAGTTTTATGCTCCAATACATACCCTTTTCATTTTCATAGGTATCAAAGGATGAAATTTTAAACAGCTATTTGCCATTGTGTAGAATAGTGTACCTTCTGTCACTAAAGAGACACATTATTAAGTTATTGCATGACAAAGAAAATTTAAAAAATTATTTACCTTCAGGTTGCCAGCAGCAGTGAGTACTGACTTCACAGCTCTCATTCCATAATCATAATGGTGCTGAGAAGATAACTGCTCGGAACACAGACGATATGTAGCCACTATTTTTACAGACAGAGGTCGGGCAGTAACAAAACCACAAGAATACAGAACAATCTCTGCAATCATGGCATAATCAGGAACCATCATAGCTACTGTTCTAAAGAGAGCCTATTAAACAGATATGAAAAAATCACATCAGAAAAAATTATACCACATTATTATATACAAGTTTTTTCTACAATTAAAAAAATACTACTTTTTTCATTATTTCATTAATACAGTGACAGCCAATTAAATTTAACTACGGAGATAATGACTACAATATATTTAATGGCTTTGCATAAATGCTCAGAAATACTTTATTTTCTATTGTGATAATTCATGGTTGTAGGTTGTCTTCATTCAAGATTAATAACAAACACACATAAAATACCACAAGGTCTAGAAGGAATAGGGGAGTGCAATACAACTACCACAGATAAGTTGATGCTGTCAGACTCCTACTAGCATTGTTTAGGTGCAGCCTATGCTTCTGCTTAACCACTGTTCTACCAAACAAGCATCAGAATACTTTCAAACAGACAAAACTTTCGTTACTGTTCATATTCTACCAGAAAGTTTTTTAAATTACCCTCTTTCATTTATACAAGCAGAATTTTTAAATCTTGCATTCACGCTACATGTTAGTGAGTAAACTTCCCAGACAGTTCTGAAAAATATTTACAAAGACTGTACTTTTCCACATTTTTATTAATTTATCAAGACATTTGCTCAGATTTCCTTTTCTTTCTATGTACACAGGACAAACCTATTTAGAGGGCAAGAAAGGACGTAGCACTCTTGTAACAATCACTCAATAATAATCTCAAACAGAATAGAAATCTTGTACATTAAAAACATCACAAGTCCCCACATTTTTATTCAATATTAAAATATTAGTGTATTCAATATTAAAATATAGTGTATTCAATATTAAAATATAGTGTACACTGCTTGTACACTATAAAGCGTTCCTTTTAATTTTTTAACTTTCAGGTGCTTAGCCAAGAAACACACAAAGTTTTGGGGTTTTTTAAACTTTTTTTTTTTATCCTGACAGTCAGATCTTGATTCAAGCAACCACTTCCTGACATCTTAAAATTTAGTTTACTCCTATTTTTCAGTCTAGTTAGCCTTTTAAATTTCTTTTTCTTCCGAGAGATGATTTTTACACTAGTGTAATAAAAAACTGATGGTAATGGATATTAAATATTCTTAATAATGACTATATTTGACAAAAAGTTGTTGTTTTTTACTTTATGTATTAGCTATTAAAAGTAGTAAAGTGTTAAGTGTTAATCATACCTTAAGATTATCAGGAAGCTCTGAACGCCCAGCATAACCAGGATTCATAGTAATGAAGACAGCACATGTAGGGTTCAGTTTCAGTTCAGTTCCTTCAAATACTATTAAATCAGATCCTGAATTAATGCCTATGGAGAAATAAAACATAATGTCATTGCTGGCCAGGTATTGTTGCATCTTAAGTCTTTGTCATATATAAGTGAAAGATATGATTAAAATCACAGTTTACCTCTTTGGATAGTAAAAATCTGCTGAGCAACCACTGACAGTACTTCCAAATCAATCCTGTTGAATTCATCAAAGCAAGCCCATGCTCCACAACACAATAAACCCTAGAAGGGACAGACATATGAGTAATTAATAGGTAACTACTTATTTTGGACATGCCGATCAAAACAATTCTGCAAAAAGAAAAAGTTTTAAAATGCAAAGAAAGGACTTACATCAATGATCCAGAGCACTAACTTCTAAAGAAAATCATTCCAGATAAACTTAGTTTTTTAGAATTTGTTTAAAAAAGGTTTGCTTCTTTTAAAAAAAACAAACAAAAAAACCACTGTACAAACTAATCCAAAATCCTAATTCTTCTGTCCTATGCCAAGAGCCTATCAAGTGCACACATTGTGCATGTTCTACCTTTATAATCAGTATTTTGCAACAGGACAAAGGGGAAGATTTCAGCACTAAACAATCCTCCAGAAAACCTACTCTTCTTTTGCATCTATGCTAACAGTGTTCGCAGTGACAAAAAGCAACATAAGGACTTCTCTGCACAGCTAAAATGCCACCATCATGGCATCTTATGGTATACGATGTTACCTGAAGTGCAACTAAAGAATAATTCTCTCTTCCTATGGTTCTAGTTAATTCATAGGTATTTTCTGAGATACAGTCCCTAAATGCTACCGTACCATCTCTGCAGCACTGGTAGTCTTCCAATGGCATCTCGTGCTTTTTTAACAGTAATTATAAAATTCCCATTTAAGACGCAGAATTTCTTTTTCATCATTCTAAACAAAAGCCCTTAATTTAGCTTATTTTGGTGAACTTCCATCATGTTGAATTTTGAAGACAAATTACGTCATTCCAGTGCCACCTCTGACTCAGAAGTTAACAATAATACCAGAAAGGAAAGCATACTTACTCTATTTTTGCATCATTCCAGTCCAAACCAGGACACTGGACTATAAGGGATATATTTTCATAATACAGAGCTGTCTACTCAGGCTAATACCAAAATGAATATATGCTTGATTTGTATAATACAATGACTCTTAGCAGCTTATTTAGAGTTTAGATTAAACCTCAAGTCTCCTAAAATTTGCAATCGGCTATTAAAAATGCACTCATTGAAATGGCATCTATGTTATCTATTTAAAGCAAATAAAATCATTATGGTATATCTCATTTTTCAAAGCACATAAAAAACATTTTGCTATCTTGATTGGATTCTTACTTATGGTAAGACCTATCTGCACAATACTAGCATTATTAGAGGCCTGGAAATAGAGAAAGATACTTTCACAATACCTTAAGATCACTTCAAGTGCCAAAATAATTTAGAGAATAATTGAGACTATGACCCTCAAGACTTATCCAAACCTTAAAAAATTTTCCTAATGCAAGGTAATCCAATCCATCAGAACAATTGAAAACGACACACTGTTTAGCTACAGCCTTTGCTAAATCTTTTGTAGTTTCTGTTTTTCCAGTTCCAGCAGGACCTTCAGGGGCACCTCCAAGATGTAGGTGTAGTGCACCAAATAGGGTTCTGGAAATAAAATTATAGGGGAAAAAAAATTGTATGAATTTTCATGTTATTTTTCCAGCTGTTCTATCTTTTCCCAAAAACTTTTAAAAATTTGTTTCACGTCTGTGTTTTCCTATGATGGTACAGTTCACTTGCTTCTGGCCAGCTGTAGTTTACAAATGTGTTGTAACGTATGAAGTTTACTAGAAGATCACAATAGAGAATAGTTTACTTTCCAACTTCTAAATCTAAATCTTTTTGTAATTTATCATTAATTACAGTGTCACAAAAGATTGATTTTATCACAAATTTAAATTAAAATATTAATACAGAAGCAATTCTAATCCACCAAAAGAAATTAATCCCATTCTAATTATGACTCCTAGAACATAAAAAATACAATTCTGGAGTCATCTGTTCTCAGGACTAATTAAAATATCTCAATTAAATAAATTCTTGCTAATACAATACATTTAGTAACCTGCAGTTTTACCTGTAGCATCTATCTGTAAGTGGAGTAATAACCAGCCTAGGAGTATTGCCCAGATATTCATATCCATACCTCAGTCCTGCATTGATCATCTTTGTTTGTAGATGCCCTTCCTAAGAAACAAGGCATTAATTTCATAGATTAAATACATTTAAAAAAACCCCACAACTCAACGCTATTTCTCAAGTCCCTTAACAGGCCCAATGCTGTTAGAAACAACTACATGGCAGACTGATGATTTCTCTGAGACACTAGTTTCAATGTGACTCATATTAAAAAAAAAAATTGTCAATTAATATATACTAAAGTATCAACACAAAAAGAGCATTTTTTACATTAACTGTTATTTAAAAAAAGATTCTACTAACCTATTGCAGAGTAAAACTGTCTTGCGCAGCTACTTTAAAAGTTAACAGACTTTCTAAAAGGTAAACAGAAGTAATCACGACCAATAGCTGTAGTTATGGTCAATCTGATGACTGTATGGCAATGTATGATCCCTATGTATTTTTTTTTTATTATTTCACATGCAATGTCTTCTGTATTATGGGAAATGTTGTCCTGATGAATGTAAAATATTGTATCCTGCCACTATCCAGTATAAACATAGTTATTTCTCCAATAAATGTAATGCACAAGTTATATTGACAGTAAGTCAGATTAAAACTAATTGAAAACTGTCATCCCTATAGCATTCTTTATATACAGAATCAGAAAACCAAAATACAGTCTTTGAGTGAACAGTTTTTGTCTGTAACACCCCTTGCAAATTCAGCAAATGTACTGAGACTCAGCAGTGATGAAAAAAGTAATTTTAATTAAAAACTGTTTGCATCTGGCTACTGGCCATTCCAGTTAGCAGTCCATAAAATGATTTGTTATAGGTATTCTCTTATCAGCAGAAATTCTCATAGTAGTGTAACCATTTTCTGTGTCAGCAAGGAAGCAGAAATTGAAAAACTGTGAACAGAAATTACCTTCTAATAGGATTGAGAGCTATCACTTACCTCCCAGTAGTACCTAAGCTGACTTAACCATTCAAAGTCATTCTCATCTTTGACTTTCTTGCTTACTAGAGATGCAAGAACATCCCTAGCATGAACATCAAGCACAACAAGTGCTCCTAGCGTCACTCGATTCTGCTTAGACAGCTTTCCTCGCACCAAGGTGACAACGTCCTCAATCTGTCTATTATTCTGTTCCAGAAAATCCTCTAGTGCCTGCAAAAATTTTTACAAGTTACAAAGTTGCATGTCTAGTCTAAGGCATCATTATTATTTTTTTCTTATATTACTTTTATTTCTCTGTATTAAAAAGTTCCTTCTCACTATAATAGTAGCACTATGTCCTTCATTCACTAGTAGTTCAATAGGGGTTTGTTTCCGGGTTTTTTTACTACTTTTACAGAACCATATGTAAAATCTCAATGATACGTATTCAGAAATAAAACAGCATACACTACTTTCTTCCTGGAACACAGGAAATAGTCCTTATTTTTTTATACATTTCACATTAAAAAAAGAAAATGCCACACTTAAAACATTTTTCAAATATCTACTTACATGTATGCAACGCACTTTCTATGGTTAAGGGACACTGTCTCACTAGAAAAACACCTTTATGTCCCACAACACCTACCAGGCAAAAATTTAACAGGAAAATGCATTTTTCTACAATTTTTCAGTTCATTGACTTCTGGTTATAGTCGCTGTTCTGTTAGCTGAATCATTTCTTTCACACAGTAATTGATAGTTTCCTTCAGGCTAATAAGTTGCTGGTAAACAGAAAAGGGCCAATTAAGGAAAGCACTTGTATCATGACAGTACTTAGAAGCGATTAAGTGCCTTACTGAATTGAAATAAAAAAGTGGGAATTAACCTTAGTAATACACTCACATCAAAGCATGTTTCTACAGAGGAATAGCTTCTGTTTGTCTGGAGAAAAATTTACCTATGTCTGGTTTAGGTTTCTCTCCCTGCTAGCCTGCTGTTCCTCTCCAAACACACTGGCTCTGGTAACCCTCAATAGATTATGATGATTTTGAGATCTCTCATCTCAGCTAGTCATTTTCCAAGCATTTGGATTTTGAATAATCATCTGCTTAGTATGACTTTTTTTTATTTATGAGACTAAAGCATTAAAAACAGAGTTCAAAAGCAGTTCAATTTCTACAGTGTTGCATTACAAGTTCTGACTAGGAAAAAATCTGAAATATGTCACTCAAGTCAGGGATATAAACCCACCAAGCTTTCCTCAGCAAACGTGAGATATCAGCTGAGGCACAGGATATGTCCTCAACTCCCATGTCAGTAACATTCCTTGGTGTTATGCTTCTTGACCATATGACTATATTTCACTGAGAACGTATGTGGTCCACAAGACAGTGCTCCCAAAATGTATTAAACACCTTTGGTTTTATACAGCATCTTAGTTCATTATTTGGTTTTAATAAGAAATTTGCACGTTTGATTTATGTACAACAGTTATTAGTTGGAAACAATTAACTCAAAAATGTTTGAAAGGGAGCATGTGTGTATATGCATGTGCATGTATGTGTGAACACATTTTTTATATTAATGAGTGACTTGGCATCCTGTCCCAGAAAACACTGAAGTGCTTCAGGCAGAGTGCAGTACTTCTGGCCTCTCACATGGTCACTGATTGTCTGTCATGTTTTAGTATGCTTTAGTATGCAAGACAGGAATGGAAAAGAGAAAGAATATCAAAGGCTGTAAGACACAGAGTTCTTCTCCCTGACACAGATTTGTGACAGATTGTCAGGAGATGCAAATGCCTCTCCACTGCTTCACTACATAGAAGCCACTTTCCACAGCAGAACGAAGACTCTTCGGCTGAAGCCAGATGAGCAGAATTCCCACTACAACAGAATTTGAGTGAAAGCTACAGGAAAGACAGGTTTCCCTGCATGCCCACATACAGAAAAGGCTTGATAGAGACCAGCACAAGAGCTTTTGTCTAGGCTCAGAATTCTGTAATAAACATTCCCAAAAGCAAATTAATTTAACCCTTGCTTAACTTCCTCTTTTATTCACTAACAGCATTAATCACATACTCATTAAGGCAAGGTTGGCTTGTTTTGGTTTTTTTAAGTCTAGAATCTCTAAGTTTAGAATTCCTGTCTGTCCTTCCTGAAAGTCTTTCACCAATTGAGGATAAATGGTGCAGCGTATGTATAAGCCTTATTTCTTTCCCCAGGAAACTGAGGATCTCCTTTACGACTGTGAAAAGAAAATATTTTCAAATCTTTTTCAAATCTTCAGATCTGTTGCAAGATTTACTCCTTGTATTAGCAGATAATGTCCTCTTCTTCCTTTAATTCCTGCTTCCAAGACACTCAGAAGCTTCTTTTCCTTGCATGTAAAAAGTGCAGCTGCTCAAAAAAGTCACTATTACCAGGAGTCATTGCTTCAACTTGTGAATAAGCAGAAAATGTTATACAGCCTTCAAATACTGCTCCATATATGGATTAAAGATTAGAATTAACTTTATGTTTGTGGCACAGTTCAGCTATATATGAACAGGGAGAATCCAAAAACACAATACTGTAGTAGCACTTTCAATTGATACCATGTCACTGCAAAAAATAGGAATGAAAAGATGACAAAGTATCATAAAGTATCACAACGTTATAACTTTACACACAACTGTGAAAAACTTGGTGTTTCTTTCTGTCCAAACACCACAGAATGAAAATCTAGTTGCCTCATCTGATTGGTGGCAATTCTAATACAACAGGGGAGAGCATTTATGCCTTAGGAACAAACCGAAGAAAGGTTCTTCAAAACAAATACCCTGAATCTTGATTGAATGCCTTAAGTACCTTTATTCCCACTAGCACTAGCTGACAGTTTATAAATTATGTACCAGTCAGGCATATATATTAATTGTTTGACAAGGGTCAGGATGGTATATATCTTCTAATGCTAGTCCTAGCCCATGTTCATAGAAAGCACTAAACATTAATGAACATTATGTTAAGAGTTCTGAACCAGAGGCAGACAGACAAGCTATACTAGTCCATAACACCTGAATACACCACTGGGCTGCTTTCACAGAAACATGTAATCTACATGTTAAACTGCATAGAACACCACTCTGACAAAGTGCAGAATCATTGATGCCTATATCAAAAAGGAAATATTAATTTCGAAGTCTTTCAAGGATCACATTTCAGTTAGATCTTTAAAGTAGATGCTCAAAAGATTAACTATTACATTGAACACCTATTTGTTCAAAAAAGTTATTACCATAGTTCTGATTTACTACTGCATTGTGTCCATTTGACATAAATTTAAATTTAAAATATTCTTACCTTTTGGCCATTTCTAATAGACAACTGTACTTGCATTGTCCAGAAAGTTTGGGACACACAAAGAACTGTTTGTCCAGGCCACTCTCTTACCCAATTAACACGTGGAGTTTTTGGATAAGCTTCAAGTGCATCCCCAATGACCTAGAAAGGAAAAAGCACACTATAACTACATAGGAAAACATGTAATGTTCAGCTTTAGAATTAATTTAAGTTAGGTTGTATTATAGAGAATAAAAAAAATAAAGCAGCGTCTAGATTCAGCCTCAAATTCATCTCTAATACTGACATCTTGCAAGAAAATCTCTCAACAAAGCTAAAAAAAACAAACCACAGACACAAAATGTCAAATGAACCAAGTGATCACACAAAATTTCTGAGAACTGATTTCACAACACATTCTAAAATGATTCTTGCCATCAGATACTTAAAATTTCCCATCTCCGTTTACAATGAAACTAGAAAACAAGTACAAATACAATTTAGTTAGAAGTAATATCCTAAACTGAAAGTTTTTTCACCTATTCATTCTAGTAAAAACTGAGATCTTTTAATTTTGCAGATCATATAATTTAAACTTATATCTAACTTCAAGTGTGTTTTCTAATAATTGAATGATTAACCTGGTTCTAGCACCACTCAAGGATAACCCCAATGAAATCACAAATTGCACTGGAAAAACTTCCAGTGTATACCAACAGGTTATTCTCCTTTTATTAACAAAACCCAAGCAAGAATAAAGTCTTACTATCAACAAACTCCTCAGTAAATTTAGATGGCTCCTCAGACAAGCAGTGTAAACTACCTGAGTGAAAATCTGCCATTTGTTTTGCAGTTCCAAGCCTCTTGGTTTTAACAACCTATACACACAATAGCATCAATTAAAAAATACATCTATGAGGGGAAAAGGTGTCTGTATTGACATTAAAACTATGCAAATGTTATCTCTCTTAGATTATCATAAAAGTCCTGTAGTCAAAGCTAAATGCAGACAAATGGTACTTAACCATTTCTTATTCATGCAGCTCCGTTTGTCCATGTCTAATACGCACCAAATAGTTGAGGTTATTCACTTTCTCCTGTACTGATATGTCTACAATAATTAAACTGTTGTACTGTAAGACAGCATCAGAGAAAGTGTGTGCACATTTAATTACCTCACTTGACATTGGAAAGGACCACAAAAAAGACAACAGAGATGGTTAAGTATACGGCACAATGATGAGAGACCAGAAAGCCTAGAATGATACAATCTAAAGAGTTAAGGTTCTTGAGTAAGAGCAACATTAAAAAAAAAAACATGAGCAATCTTTCAGTTTAATCTTGTTTCTTAATACCACATCAAGTGTGGAAAAATCTGTGGCAAAAGAATCCTCGTCGCAAACATTTTTGACTGTACTACTTAATTTTAAAGAATTTTAGAGAATTTCACAACCAGAAATTGACACCAGAACTTTAAAAAAAAAAAAAAAAAAAAAAGGTAAAGGTATAAACTTTAAAGATGTGTTTTGATGTTCATGCTAGGTGGAAAAAATAAAAAGTGATTCCAGTATATGTTAATGTTTACTGAAGAAATCAATGCTGAACGATATTAGCCTAGAAAATAAGAGGTTAGGACTTGTTACCCTGTGGACAGACTTCAGCATAGCTGCCTCCAGTTCAACCAGCCATTTTTCAACTTGACCTCTAGCTTCTGATGTTGAGATTGTCTCTATGAGTTCCACTGTCTCTCCTTCACTACTTTTAATGTGTGTAATATCCAATACATCAGTAAATTCTACTCTTGCAATTCCTTCAAAACACTTTTTCAAGTGAGGTTGTACTCTAGAAAACAAAACTACGATTAAACAGCTTCTGACAATTTTTTCTTGCCAATACTAAAGAAGATCCAAACTACCAATTTTTTTTTGGAATTATTTTAGAACAATTTGCTTAAAAGATCATTTTAAGTTTGTTAAAAGTAAGTTTATCCTCAACAACAATTCTTGTGTACTACCCCCTGCAAGATGCCTACTATGGTATTTTTTTGAAGATCAGTTTAAAGATGTAAAATACTACTTATAGTCTCTGTAACATATAAACTAGTAATGATAAACAAGTATTCTTTCTTCAACTGCTAATCCCCCTAGAGTACATAAAATTCCATTATTTATACCTTCCCAGCAAACTATAGTAGAAAGTAATGAATTTGAGTAAAGCAACCAAGCACAACCTTAACACAATTGCTTGTAATAAATTTAAAAAAAACATATTTTTTAAGATCTTTCTCCTCACAAGATCTCTTGCCCTGTTCATTGCAATGTATGACTATTTCTCTGTGATTGAGATGGAATTTCATTATTTATTTTCATTCTTATTTTTGCATGACCTTGCACTGCATTCACTCAGACTATCAAGTCTGCATATTGGGAATCAAACAGCAGTTCCTCTGCTTATAGCAAAGGCTATATTTCTTAACAAGATCACTTCTGCAGGAATCTTTGTAGAGTTAATTCCACTCAGTATAAGAAGGACTTACACTGAGCCACACTTTTGTGGTTTAATCCTGAATGAGGCTGGGGAGTAGAAAACCCAGAGAGACTTAAAACATGGCAAAAGACTTCTCAAATACTTTAATTAGCACTCAAGTCAGTGGTATACAAGTTCCATCTGGTATTCAGTTTTCTACTGTGAAAAATCAGGTATGCTAATTTCATCATGAATTACTATATGGACTTTGAGTCTTCTGAAAAACAGTGTATAGAAGGGTTCCTAGCTTAGAAAACCGAACAGTATTTAAACTATCCCTATTAAAAATTACTCTGTGTTCAGTTATTGTAAAATCTAACTAAGTAGATACTTAATACTGTAACTGCCAGTGAGGAAAAAGAGAGTTCTGAGCTCAAAGAAACAACACGACAAGACTATCTGCATGTGCTGTGAGTCACAAATACATGTATCAAATATTACCATACCTAGTAGGATCTTTGGTCTCTGAAAGAATCTCAAGGAGTTCATCATTAGATAAAAAAAAGAATCTGGGGAAAAACAGGCGCTTCTTCTCTAGGTATTCATTAAGTCCCTTGAGAATTAGCTCCAGAAGTTCATTGCACTTCCGCAGTTTTTCCAACATCTTGTCTATTATTACTACTGTCAGTACATGTTTGTCCTGGAAAAGAAATTATTCCAGATAAAAATGTTAATGCTTTCTCAAGTAAATCACCACAAAGCACTGCAGGAAGACTTAAGCAAAATGAATCTTTATTTCAAATTCTGTTTTACTCAAATCATTGTCAGGGTTACATAACTTTCTTCATTGCCAGGGTTCACTGGAAAAGTAGTTAGGCAGTTGGCATTAAAATACATTTTTCAAAACATGAACTATCATTTTTGAAAATAATTTTCAACACAGGATCAATTCATGAAACAGCGCAACTCCCATCATTCTGTTGGAGCAACATCAATTTACACTGGCTATTCAACTGGATTATATAATTAAGCAACATGAACAATTAAAACATTTTGATAGGTTTTTAAGAGTGTACTTTTATGACAACAATGCAGTCACACATTTAAAGTAGTAATAATCTATCAGAGTTCAATGCAAGAAATCTTTCCTTCTCTACAAAATATATAAATATATACACAATATTACAAGTATTGAGATGGCAAAGTTGTACGTAGGCAAGCTGACACCTCAGTGCTAACATTAACTGGTATGTGGTTTAAAATAAGGTATTCTCTGATCCTAATACATTTACTAGCCAAATACATGTTTAAAGATTTTTTTGCTAGCAAAATGCGAAAGTTATGATTGCTTTAAGAATATTAAAAAAATTATATATATATATATATTTTTTTACCATAGCATCTGAGTAACACCTGTCAAGATAAATTATTGGATAAACACTCAGTTTCTTATATTTGTATACTGTGTAGATGACAAAATATATGTTAAGATATATAGTGCTTTCCAAAGTAACCTCTCAAATTAAATGAAGTTCCCAGGAATTTGAATGGGGCCAGAATGACCATAGGTGAGATGGAAACAGACCTAACTAGAAAAGTTAGTCAACATTAGTCAGTTAGGTCCCCTCTGCTCTGCCCAGTGAGTCTGCACCTGTAAGCACACAACATAGAACACATATCCAGGATTAAAATAAAAAAAGACACAGGGTATAACCAACCATAAGAAACAGCAAAGAGATCAGTAAGGAGAATTCCAGACTAGTCAATCTACTAAGGGGTTGTAAGAACTGCTGATAGTAATAACAAGGAATACTCCAACAATGGACAGCAGAAATCAAAGAATTATGCAGACTATGTCCACTAGGAACAGTTTTGCCAGAGCCCATTACAAATACAGAATGTCCCACTAGGAAAAGTTCCTGATAGGGTTTGCAGAACAACACAGTCTCAGAGCAGAACACTTCACAGAGCAGAAGCATGGGTGACTCATGTTGCAAGGGACAGATGAGGAGATACAGGCTGGACTGCTTTGCAAAGCCCAGAAGGTGCAAAAGGTATCTATGAGAAACAAACCCCTCAGAAGGTGACAAGGCAGAGCTGACCCAGCAATCTGACTGCTGTTCAGCTTCAGTTTGGAGAATTTAATAATAAATTCCAAGTACAGTTTCTGTTCAAAAACTTGTAACATTTTTAAATTATTTGCAATGTGCATTCAGATTTGATTCAATTCCCGACTCACATTACACATACATTTCCAATCTACTGAAAAAAAAAACAACCAGAATTGTATGTTTATCTAATTGATCTTCATGGTGGTGCACCTCCCTAATACAATAATCATAATGTTCATTTGTACATGAAATACGTTTGCCTTTCGCTACTTGCCTTTTGCATAATGCCAAACCAGAACAAACTGAATAACTTAAATATACTTTTAATCTATACATAGACAATTAAGCTGTCAGCATACAAACATAGTTTGTAACTGGTTTTATAAAACAGTTTTTACTGCACAGACAACTGTATAACTGTATGTTGTCAACAGAAAGAGTTTTTGTTCCCTTTCTTAGCATGTTTATCATCAGCAAATAGAGTAAGTGCAACTTGTAAAGCAAATCAAAGGGTGGTGTTTATTTTATTTATAAAATCCCAGTTTTATAAATGGGATTCTTCCTGCTTGTTTTTTCTTTCATATGAGAAGAAGTTAGGGGAAAAAAAATAATTTATGCTTCAACATAGATTTCCTATTTACAGTTCTGCTAAGGCATGAAGAAAAAAGGGGAATGCCATCATTCTCAGTTATTCAAAACATCAATGTAACTTACTTTGTCAGTGATGTTGTTAATGTCAATTAGGGGAAAACACCTGTATCTAGAAAATAGTATAAATCAAGTGCATAAAAATAGCTTGAGTACCCTGTTAAAAGACCATCACTAGCTCTAATTTCTAAATAGAATTTTTAACATTATCACAGGTCGCAGTCTAGGAATGTTTTTCTTGTATTATTTTTCTTGCCTTTTTGTTTTTGCTTTCTTCCTCACAAAGACAGAAAATCTTCCATAGCCTAGATTTTTTAACCCCCAAGTAATTTAACCCTCATTAATGTGCAGTGCTTAAATTAGATATCTAAAATTAAGGAATAATATATGATTATTCAAATTCATGATGAAAAGCTAAGCAAATAAAGGAATTTCATAACACACAGCAATTTTATAAGACAATGGCATATAAATGCAAAAAAAGCACAGACAGACTCAAGTTAGCTTTATGCTTTAAGAAAGACCATTCATATAGACTGGGAAGAGCATTTTTTAAGCCATGAAATTCAAACATCGCATTTGTGGAAAGAGAGTGCCATCTTCTGGAAAATAATGCCTACCTGTATAGCCAAAATCAACTTTAGATTGTTAAACTTCTATTCTGGTGTTTACACTCTCCTGTACAAACACAAGATGATTCTTTTTTCTGCCAGCAATAACATATATCACATTCAAAACATACTTCATATTTCATTAGCACTGAATATCCAAATTAGAAGATTATCATAGAATCTTTGGGTTGAAAGGGACCTTTTAAGGTCATCTAGTCCAACCACCCCACAGTGAGCAGGGACATTTCCACTACATCAGGTTGCTCAGCGCCTCATCCAACCTGCCCTTGAATGTTTCCAGGGATGGGGCATCTACCACCTCTCTGGGCAACCTGGGCCAGTGTTTCAGCACCCCCATCGTGAAAAGTTTCTTCCTTATGTCAAGCCTAAATCTACCATCTTTTAGTTTAAAACCATTACCCCTTGTCCTATTGCAACGGGCTCTGCTAAAAAGTCTGTCCCCTTCTTGCTAATAAGGCCCCTTTAAGTACTGGAAGGTTGCAGCAAGGTCTCCCTGGAGCATTCCCTTCTCCAGGCTGAACAACCCCAGCTCTCTCAGCCTGTCCTCACAGGAGAGGTGTTCCATCCCTCTGAGCATTTTTGTGGCCTTCTCTGGAGCCACTCCAACAGGTCCATGTCTTTCCTGTCATTCAGCAAACAATGTTCAGAAACATAATACTCAACAAAATTCTGAAATTCTTGCCTTTTTCTATTTTTACAAAATTTTTTCCCCATAATGACTATTATTTCAGATATTTCTAGATATACTAGAAAATACTAGATTTCACAACTCTGTGAGATAAACTCCTGATTTTTCTGCTAAATCAGAAGAAAGAATAAGAGAGAAAAAGGTGGGGAGGAGTGTAAAACAGAGGGAGAAAAACAGAGAGGGGGGAAAAGAATAACTAGATTAAAAAAATGAAAAAAGTGATCAAGCTGAATTGCTAGGAAATGAAGCAAATTTTTTTTTTTTTTTTTAATACTACACATTTTGTGTATTCCCACATTAAGACCATATCTGCAATCTGGAAAGATCTCAGACCAAAAACTTCTAGACTGAGTGAAGATTTTAGCATTTGTCCTAATGACATAATGGATCTCTGGAAGTTCTGCAAAGGCATGAGACAGATGAAAACAAAGCTTCTCATTTTTTCCTTCTAACGACAATCTTATGTCCTGACCCTGGAAAACAGTGGACCCCCATAAGTCTTCTCAAGTCTGTTGAATAGTTTAGTAAGCCAAGTTAAAAAAATTAGTAAAAATGCAACATCCTACTAGAAATGTCCTTGATATGAGGAAGCTTTTTCAGAATGCATGCAGTTTTCTCTAATCATTATAAAAATCATTAGGATTACCATAATAGGATTACCAGAATTACGAGGTACCTGACTACTCCCTGAAGAACAGAATTTGTAGAGCAATGCATTCAGACCATTGATCACATAACTACCGAAGAATCAGCTGTGCCACTTTCAGATGTTACCTCTTCCCTTAATAGTACCACCTCTTTGCTAGAAGCTATTGGCCTCTGAGCAGACCCAGCAGAAGAGATTGTAGGAGTGTTCTTCATCCAGTTAGGCTGGCAAAGACAGCCAATCTAACCCGATCCAAGGCTGAGAACATCTAACTACTGAAGCGATGAGCATTTATATAATCTCATCAATTGATCCTAATAACAGTGATAACTTACGGTAAGGATGAAATAAGAAGCAGACTGGAACAACAGTAACGTTTTGAACTGCCAGATGTGTGCAGTGATCATGTCTGACAACTGCCTTATGTACTGATTTAAAGTAGATCAGAACAGTACTTTTGAAGCAAGTTAAATATCTAAACAGTTTAAAATTATAGAGGCGTCTCTACAATTCAATATGCTAATAAACAGCATTTTTCAAAAGGAATAATCTGTGTAAAATTTCATTGATTCATGTCAATTGACCTACAGTGCCAGGATCATCATTGCTATGTTACTTTTTTTTGTATGCTGCTTCACTCTGTTCACCAGAATGGCACACGGCCTGTCAGAAAAGGTTGGGAGAGCTGGACTTGTTCAGCTCGGTGAAGTGGAAATTAAGGTAGAATTTAACTGTAGCCAGCAACTACACAAAGGGCAATTGAAAAAAACAAAGCCAACTTCTCAGCAGTGACAGTTGGGCAACAAGGGCCAACCGTTACAAATATTCGCTTGGGAGGTTTAGCTTAGACATTAGGAAAAAATCATTCACTAGGACAATAATGCAGCACTGAAGTCACTGGAGAAAATCTGTAAGAAATCTCCATCCTTGGAGATTTTTGACATTTAGCTAAACAAAGTTGTGGCTGACCTGATGTAGTGTTGGCAAAAGTGCTGCTTTTTTTAGAAAGCAGTTAGACTAACAAAACTCCAGTGGCCCCTCCCAGTCGATTAATTCTATGATTCTATGTGAAACAGTTCTGCAAAATAATTTTTAAAAGAATCTAAGAAAGGGGAATAAGATGAAACAGAAAACAGATTACTGTGTTATCAGAAGCAATTTTTTTTTTTAGCACATAGTACAAATTCCCTCTGTATTCTTAAGACAGTAGTACTTACCTGAAAAACTGATTTCATTAAGTCTTTCCACGTCTTAACCACACTACTGAATCGCCTACTTTCCTCAGGCATCTGAGCCATGATGTCAGGAGAACTGAAAATTGGCTCCAAATAAAGCCAAGTAGCCTGAACCTTCAGCCATTCATCTAGGATCTCTTGTACCAACAACAGTTTTCCTTCCCATTCCCTATAAAATAGCATTAGTTCAAATACATTAACTGATGCTTCTGGTAAAACATTTCCAGCACACTGCTAAGATCTTTTTGGCAATTTGCATATTCAGCAGCAAGTGCAACAGGTGTAAGCTTTAAGATTTCAGCAGAATATCATATTCACCTAGCCTGATTTCCTTTATAACAAAGTCCACACTAATCTCTGCAACTGGATCACCCGTAGGTTGATCATAGGATTTTATGAACTAGATTACTTCAATAAATAGACTAACAGTATCAGTGAATAAACATAGTATACACTTTAACATATAAAAGTATCTGTGGGCAAATTCACTTTAGTTATGCAATCTGGTTTCTAGCATATACCAAAGCCCAGACTACTATTTATAACCGTTTGCTAGGATAGATAGGCTGAGATGGCAAAAGAAAGACACAAAAGTAACCTAAACTACTAAACCAAAAATATGTAGACATTGTCCTAAAAAGACATGTGGTCTTAATTAAAAGTTTTCAAGTAGTAGAGTAAATACTTGACAAAAAAAATGGTTAAGTCACATTTTATTTCTGACTTCAGATTCCAAATGTGGATGTTGAGCACATTTGTCTGACAGATTAGAGTCCTTCAGCATTACTGCACATCACTACTGGTACACAATATTATAATCCTTTAGCTATTAATTTTTTTCTTTTGATAGTCAAAAATTCAAGATCCTTTAGTCTATAATTTTTTCCTGTCTCCTAAATTTTTCTGCATTGTTTTAAAATTATTAATACCACCATCTGACACTTCATACTATCTCACCGACAGATGTGATATTATCAGTTCTCTAATGTCATTGGTATTCCTAATTCATTGACATAAGCAATTTGAAAAAAAAAAAGATAAAAATAAAATGCTATTTACAATCCTGTAACAAGTACATATATTCTTCTTCCCTGTATAAAAACAGTGAGTATCATTTTTTACAACTCTCATACCACTGGACAGTACAGATAAAATTATTACTAAAAGTGCATGCTGTTAAAATATGTATTTTATAAATGAACCGTAAGTTTCTCAACAGGCACTCATACGTGAGCTGCACTGAGCTCTGTAAAATGATGCATGTAAAAACATACCTAACTTCTTCATTCATTCATTTACCTGTCACAGATTCTAAAGAACAAACAGCTTTGCTTGCATGGGCCTTCTCTTCTACCCAAAGTCCCTCTGTCATGTTTTACATATTGGTACCTCATTTCTGGTGATTTTGCTTCTACCAAGAGGTAGAGAAAAATGCAGCTTTCCAAGAGGAAAGTTAGGTAGGTCAGTTAATTTGCTTACACCAAAAATACGAGGAATTTGGAATATCTGTCAGCAGTCCAGAATTCTACATGCTTTGTTGGGTTATTGAGAAAGCAATCATTGTGTAATCACCTAGATCTCAAAGACTGACATAATAATAATACCTTGTATTATTACAACTGCTGTCAGTCACCAAAAAACTCTGATGAATTTATCATGGCATGCTTAGTCTTTTTAAGTAGGTAGGCAAAACCTACCATTTTACATTAATAAAGACAGAACTCTTATACTACAGTACAGTAGTAACTAGAGAATTAATACTTACCGGAACATACATATATGTACATGTAAGTATGTATTCATATTTATTGAAGACGTGCTGAACTCTAAAATAGCATTTCTGCAGGTTAATGGGAGTTTGGAGGTACTTATATAGCTATATAATTGTAGCCAAACTTCAGATGAAAGATTTTTGTATTTCCACAATATTGCTATGTTTGGGAGATTTAAGAAGCAAGTAAAGTTTTTATGTTTTTATTGAAAAAAAGGGACAAAATCAGATTAAAACCTATGCTCAAAGATGGAAGTACAGAATTTTTAACATGCAATGCTAAGTTTTGGAATTTAATTTTCTGCATTAGGAAGAAAAAAACCTTTCATCACTTCCATGAAATTTGTCTTGTTTCCATTTTCTTCATCTGCCCTACATAAATCCTAACATTTTTAATCGTGGAAGAGCTAAAAGATTCAGTAGCTATATAACTTAGATAGAAAATGTACTATATTCTCTTATTCTACTACCTTTCCATCTACACCTCAGATATGTTTTATCTGGTAAAACAAAGGTAATGTTACCAACCTCTCCCATGCATTAGCACTTCCCGTATCATTAATTAAAAGTAAAAATCAGCTTTATAGGATTAAATAATGCATACCTGACACGAGACAAAAGCTTTAGTCCTTTAAAATGAGATTAAATCACTGCCTAAGGAGGATAAACAAAAGCATTTGAAGCCCCTATGCTTTAAATTAAGCAGAAAAGATTTCTTATTTGGTAACACTACTTGGTGACTTACTATTAGAAAAAAAAAAATACCTTATTCTCTTTTCATAATGCTTAACGAATGGAGATCCTCTCATAGTCTGAGTTTTGACAATGTGGTCATCCAATAGCATCTGAATATCATCTACAGATGACAAAATATGGGTTCTTGTTTCTCTATAGGCCAGAAGAGTGAACTCCATTTGATCCCATTCAGCAATCATTTTCGTTAAAGCTTTGTCAAGTGAATGTTCTTTGCTGGCTGTTTCACTGATGGTCTCAAACTTTTCTAGAAATGGTTCAAGATGCAAGTTAATATATGACAAGACATTTGAGTCCTCAGAAGGAGACAGTGGTAAACCAGCAATTTTTGACATCTCTTCCCAGTGTCTTTCTTGCAAACCAGGATTGCAAATCACCTGAATTAGAGGAATGTGGCATCTGAATTCCTCTACTTTTGATTTAACCTGTCTTGTTATCGCTAATGCATTTGGAAAATCGTGGAAGGCTTTTTCTAGTTTATACAGTGCATGCCAGTAGTTTCCTACATCCACCTCTACTTTGTCTGGATTCACTTCTGTAAATGATCCTTCTGTCCAGTCTTTGTGTTTTCTGTTGAATTCAACAGTCATATCATAGAGACGAAGATACGGAGCAAGAGTATTACGGATGTTTTTATGCTGAGGGTACTGAGATACTGGCCATCCAAAAGCCTCTTCTTCTGAATTCAACTGATCAATCTGTTGAGACATAAGTGAGGTCTGAAATACAAACAATGCTGTCCATGATACCAGGTCATTACCACAAGGATTAGGGAGGTTTTCTGGTGTTTTCAAGAAGCTTCAAATTAAGTTTTGAGTTACTAACCCAGCCTATTATCTAATTTCTGCCATTGACTGCAGTTAAAGCAATCTTTAACAGTAACAGCTCAGCATTCATGCTAGTTAATAGAGGAATATAGATAGAGGTTTAAAATGGTACCTAGGCATTCCTCTATAACTTGCATTGCCATGGAGGCTTTAACAGACAAGAGGTAATAAAGAACAACAGGAATTGCACTTCCAAGACCATAAAAGTATAATTTCTATGCAAACATACATAAACTTAATCCACTCTTTCACTATGCCAAGTGCTGTTGTATTAACTCAGGACCACATAGTAACAAATGACTGTGCTCAGTAAGTTTGCAGTTTAAATCGCAAATCATGTAAAAGTATTTCATAGCCGAACTAATAATTATTTTGCCACATCTCAGTAACTGTATTACTAAGTAAACTGCTGATTCTGATACCACAAATATTAAAATTTTCAAATTTATAATATTGGACAAGTTTAGACTATAATCTGTACCTTATCAGCAGCAAGATCCAATTTTGTATTTAACACTTGAGCTTTCTTCAAATACCTGTTGACTTCCTGAATATCGCCAAATGTGCTAAGTTCTTCAACCTGCTTAGAGTAGCTTTTCAGTTCCTCAACAAATTGTTCACAGCGTATCTAATTAAACATCAAGCAAGTACATAATAATTTTTTAAAAATCACAATAAACTTCTGTAAAGAGAAATAACTATTCTGATTTGCTATAGTAGGACACATTATACTTGCAGAAAATCCAAGACATCCAACATATTTGCACATGAGTATATTCAACCCAAACTACAGAAATTGCCCTGAATCCTACTGTTACCTGCAGTGACTTACTGGGCTGACAGATGTGACTTTGGGTTCTATGTCATAGGATATAGGTGGACATAGAAACTTCTGCTTTCCATGATGGACATAGTCAGCAGGCTAATAATAGAAAGCTAAATTCAAGTGCCTAGTATATCTCAAGTTAAAATAGAATAATGGAATTAAATGAAGAAAACGACAGACAAAGCTAAACAGTTTGACAAGACAGAGGCGTCTCTTGTCATAAAGCCACACAGTTCAAGGATAATTTTTTCCTCATATATATGACTCCACAACACGTATTTCACATTGAGCATCAGTACTGATTAATGTCTGAAACCAAGCATCAAACCATACAAAGCAATAACATATTTCACAGTAACAGAGTCTATGTTCCACATTTATTTACAACACATCTCACACTGCACTTTAGAATAGAATATTTCAGTGGAAGAGACCTACAATGATCATCTAGTCCAACTGCCTGACCAAGTCAGGGATGACCAAAAGTTAAAGCATGTTGTTAAGGGCATTGTCCAAATGCCTCTTAAACACTGACAGCCTTGGGGCATCAACCACCTCCCTAGGAAGCCTGTTCCAGTGTTTGGCCACCCTCTCGGTAAAGAAATGCTTCCTAATGTGCAGTCTAACCCTCTCCTGGTGTAGCTTTGAACCATTCTGACGAGTCCTATCGCTGGATGTGAGAGAGATCAGTGACAGTAATACCAGCTACTTCTTTAAACATATTGCATAAACATAGAAGCTCACTATCTCAAAATATGTATGATCTAAGACAAAAGGATGATTAGACTACAGAGCACAAGAAAACTGAAGCATACAGCTATACAGGCATATAACAATATCTGTTACATAACTGTAACAGATCAGCAGCCTAGTAGTTAGCAATACTTGCGGAGAGATCCCATCACTTAGATAATACAACAAACTGTACTGTAAAAGCCTAGTAAATATAATAAAAAATTCTAACAGAGATAAAATACAAGTAAAGTATAAGAGATTGAAAAATAAAAACAAATAAAGCAAACCTGAATTAAGGTGAACTTATGTTATAAAATTGCATTATTTGACACTATCATAACAGCAAAATCACACTTAGAAATTAATGCAGTTTTGTTTTGAGCTATCACAGAAATTTCATATACTGCCATTGACTCCAAAGGGACTGCTCATGTGCATAAATCAAGCCATGTACATGTCTTTAAAGGATTTATCTTAATTTTACTATTTCACATACAGACAACTTTCATCAACATCACTGGAATCTCTGTAACTAAAAGCTTTCAGAGTGCAAAACTGAGACGTGACTTGTCTTGCAGTACTTGTGGATATGTGAAAAGCAAATGAACGTAGAGCAGGCAAAAATTAGTTAATATGAAGAATAATATAAAAACATCTACTTTAAACTTCTTTTTAAAATATATGGGAAAATAAAAGAGGGTGTTCAGTTCATTATTTCATGTCCTATATGCCATTCAAAATTAGTAGCTCAAGGATTTTAAAAATACTGTCATTACAAACCTTAAGACCATCTTGAAATTGATCTGTTTTTTCTTTAATTATCTTTCTGTGCTCTTCAAAGATATCTGGCATTCGTGCATACCATTGAAAAACATTACTGTTCAGGCGAATGTCTGCTGGCGGAAAACTGACACATTCTATCAGGAAAGCAACATAATTTACAGTATCCACTAATTTCTGCTCCAATTCGAGCATATCACATGTTTCCATTTTCTGCATACAGGCCTGGGGAATAGAAGTTAAAACGGAAGACATTTTTCATATAATGTAATGCCAAAATAATACCTGAAGTAATTAAATATTAACTGTAAAAGCTTATTTTTATGAGGAAAATTAAATAAAATTAGAAATACATGATCTGAAAAGGTATTTATTTCGAATGGCATGGTATTCGCCATTTTTACAGCATATAACTTGTTAATACAACTGCCTTACTAGCTATTTTATTGAATAAAACTCAAAAGAATGGGTGAAACTGTATGCTCAAACATTTGGACTAATAGAAGCCAATCCAGACAGCCTGCTCTAAGTGTTGCAGGTTTGGGAAAGCATGGTGCTACCAAAGAAAAACTAGTAAAATAACTACCAAAGAAAAGGACGACACACTTGAGAAAGGAAAGCACTGAGTGACCCAATGTAAGATTAAGTCTTCCCTAGCAGTAGGAACATAAGGAATATAGACAGCCACTGTACTGCTCACTGTGCTTAAAATAAAAATTATGCTGTTCTTTCAGATCTCAAGAGTTGGAGGTAAACTGTGTTAACATCCATAGCATTCCATATGGTAATCTTAATAGAACAGCAACACAGCCCAGTTTAAACAATAATCCATTTGTACATCAATACAACATACATGTCAACATACAATACATCAACACAACAATAATCCATGCCAATCCATAATCCAATGAAGCACTCTGAAAGCCTAACAAGAAAAAAGCTGTATTAGTAAAAATGTTGGCCAACTGGACAGATCAATAGTATACCAGTATATGTAAATATTAACTTCATATTCATCAGCTGAAGATATGGAAAAAACTAATATGATGACACAACGTGGTATCACTGGAAACATTTCTAGGTAGGGACAGATTTGTCCAGTAAATCTATGCTTCTGCTCTTTTAACAGTAGTTTCTATGCGTTATATATATGCATTTTAAAGGCACCATATTCTCAGCTAGCACATAGTTCAACTTCTAAACATTTTACTTTTTACTTGAAAAAATTACTCCAGTTATATCCTACATTAAACTTTACTGTAGCAAAATCACTCCGATCCAAATTCAGCCAACCACTCAGGCACCTATTTTAAGCACGCCCCTATATTCCACACATTTACTATTGGGCACATACATCAGAACTTTGCTGAACAACAAGAGACTAAGCCACATTACCTTTCAAGTGTGAATATAAGTGCATCACTGAACTGGAGCCCAAATACATCAAAGAAACAGCAGGGTTTTGATTACAGAAGTGGTATTTGTAACTGAGGAGGTGGGATTTTACTATTACCAAGCTGCAAACCCTACATCTGCTAAATTTTGAATGATCATTCAACAGAGGATATAAAGGTAAAATTACTTCATACAACTTGCCAATGAGTGCTTTTTTTAAAGCTTTCTTGTGAAGAATTAAATACATTTTAAAATTACCTACATCTCAAATTTCAACTCTTTGATTAGTCTAGGATATTGGGAATGGATATTTAGGCTTCCACATCTAATTCGATTGCTTGAATTTAATTCAGGAGAACCAAGAGATATTCACTGTTTGACTGAACTACATGTTGAGAAGCCTGAGAAACACACAGTCTAAATTTAATTCTACTGGAATGTTGCCCACACTACAGAAATGACTTGCTATCTGCTTACACTAGGTAGGATGAGAATAGAAATAAAACCATGCACTTAATCCAAGCCATTATCTACTAACCCTTTGCTTTGTGAAAATCAGTGACAAAACTGCCAGGTAATACCTATACTACTAATTAAATACCTATATTATTAAGAGGCTCAGTCAACATTCCAGCCAGCCACACTGCTTGCTAGCATGCTCCCCTACAGCAGTGGTCTCCAAACGTTCTTGATCTCACATCCTTATCAGTAAGAAATTTTTGAGCATGCGCCCTCAATATATATATATTTATATAGAGATTATACACAAATACTACTGTACTATTATGTACACAATAGAACATGCACAAAAAATAGAAATTAAAAAAGATTAAATTAATAATAAACAATATTTTAAATAATTTTCATTTATTAATTTTACAGAAACCTTTCTACTTTCACTAATATTATTGATAATATTTTTTGTGAGAGCAATGTCATTGAATAGGCTTCATTAATCTTGGTTTATTACTTTGAGATTTAGAGGTTCAAAGGTCTGGTTCTAAGTTCAGTTTATTTCAAGACTTCATTTTAATGGCTGCCAAAGAGTAAAAAAAAAAAAAAAAAAAAAAAAACAAACTCAAAGACACAGAGATCCAAATGGAAAAATTGCATTGTTAGCTGTGCTTAATAAATCGTGATTCCATCCACCACTTATGCAAAGGTTTTTGTTGAAATTAATCTAATAAAATTCCATCTTCCCTGATATCACTCAGTTGTTCTTGCAAACTAACTGGAAGGTCTTGCTTTTTGGGGTTTTTAACAAACGCATTCAAAACTCACTGAAATATTTTGTAAAATTTTTAAACAGGTTAGAAAATTCTGTTTCCAAGGTTTTAAACTGTACAGATATAAAAGTTTTTATAAGGGGGACACACATAATTTTCAGCAACAAAATCACATAACAATGGAAACATTTCCAAACAACCATTTTCAAAATGCTCTCTCCCCAGGACATTATTTTCTTTGGAAAAGCAGTTAATTTCTCACTCATTCTTAAAAATGTCACCTTTACTTTGAAGGAAATATTAAGTGTCATTATTTTACCAAAAGTATCTGCTAGGTAGCATGTTACTGACAGCCACCTGTCATCACAGAAAAGGTCAGCAAAATTAGGAACACCTGTTTCTTTGTAAAAGAAAAATGCATAACTCATCTTTAAGTTTGACAACTCTTTAAAAGGAATTTTCCACAAGATAACCAGCAAACCCCTGCACAGTAGAAAAGATTTTCATGGTGACTCCCTACCTCAATACAAACTATTTATGAAGATTCTGCTGTTTAAAGATCTTCTTTTATAAAATTAACCACATTGCCAACATCCTGTAGAACTTTGAGCACTTCTGGACTGAGAGGTACATGACTTGATACTTCACTGAAAAAACTGTAAACGTTTCTCTTCATTATGTGGATGCTTAGTTTTTACATGTTTTGCTAAGCGTGATGGTTTCATACTATCATTAACTAATAACTCAAGGCACAACAGACATTTCAGACAAGGTTCATAATTAACAATAGTGGATGTAAATTCATATTTCAAACCCTCTTCTTAACAATTTTGAAATTTTGCCCGATTTGTCAAATCTGATTAGACCATCATTATTTTTACCTCTTAATGTTAATGATGAAGATCTCATACTAGGAGTAGAAGTGTCAGATGCCCCATTTTCTTGTTGATCACTTGTGCTCACATTATTAGCAGTATTGTCAATCTGCAGTTCCTTTGTGTGAATCTTTTTAAACCACTTGCCCATTTTGTGAGTGTCAGGTTAGTTAAAACTCGGTAACATAATCTGTAAATCTACTTAACTGGGCACACAAACTGCAAAACACAGGAATGCACTGAAAGCAAGTGAAGAAGTGAGGGTGCCACTGTGAGTCCCTCCACAGT